GGAAGAAGACGTAAGAAGATGCTGGATGACCTTGGGGACAGAAGAGGATACTGTCATTTGAAGGAGAAAGCTCTAGATCGCATTAAGTGGAGGAATTGTTTTGAAAGAGACTGTGGACCTGTCGTCTTGACAGATTACTGATGATGATGATGTTCTGAATGTGTGAATTTACACATATAAACAAAATTAACTTTGAGATTTGAGGTTCTACAAAGATTGCAGTCTCCTGAGATGTTATGTTACGTAGTCTGTTTCAGACAGACCTGCTACCTACAGTTTCAAGGGGTCCTATCCTTGAGTGAGAAGGTTCCTCAAAAACATTGGTAAGTATCACACACACAGAAAATGTACTCACTTTTATTGTATTTTATTGTATTGTGACATGTTGCGCAAAGGAGACCCCCCCACCAGCAGTGACGCGGTGGGTGAGTCAGCGCTCCCCTCCCACTCCTCCGCGCGGTAACGTAACGCTCGCGTTACTACGGTAATAGACGAGTTCCCGCTCCGCCACTCCCCTCCGCGGTGACGTAACGCGCAACGCTAGGTACCCGTAATCAACTTCCTACTGTGACGTGGCACTCATTACGCAACCGGCAAGCACTGCAGCTATATAAGTGAGCTGCACAGCTGGTACCAGTCAGTTGTACTGTGACAGCCACCGAGCTGTAAAGTAATAGTCGCCGAGTCGAGTTATACCGTGGCCATCGCCGAAGACATTTCCCAGTTATAAAGTAACAGTCGCCGAGTTGAAACATAACAGCCGTGTGTGCGATAACCAGTGATCACCAGTCATATCTGGAGTGTGTAATTCAGGGAGACTTGTATAGCTCCCGCATTATTAGTACGTGAAGACTCTCGAAGAGAGTGTGAAGAGATTTTGTTCTAGGGTTTGTAAAGTGTGGAAACCCGCAACATTGTGATAATCAATTGTAGCTGTTATTTGAAGATTGTTAAATAAACCAATTAACCATCTCTACGGCGTCTTCAGTAACGTAAACACGTTACACTGGTGTCAGAATTGGGATCAGTAACGCAAACACGTTACAGTATCATGATTTATTAGTTAAATTTTAAGATAATTTAGTAAAAATATGAAAAATATTAAGTAAGCCAAAATGTTAAGCAGAATGAGGAATACTAATTAATTATTTCTGCATTACCTGTCTAACTTTTCATTGAGGAAGACACCACCAGTAACAGAGTCAATTTTAAAGATGGAGAGTGACGCAGGGCTGCGTGCTGCATGGAGACTGTAGAATACCTTCCTGTCCTCATCCTCATCAGTGGCCATCAGTCTTAGAATCTCAGTTCCCTTATCCACATTCTCTGATATCTCAACACTATACACTTTCTGTAAGAAGTTTGGCCGGTGGTCATTGATGTCGATCACTGTTACATACAACTGTGGGCAGCAAAACAGATGGATTAATATTAGTAGAATAACACATCAAGAAAATATTACACTTTAAATTAAATGTCTTTCACAATCTACATCAGCAGCAAAAGTGGCAACAATTTGTGTGAAATTGTGCATGCGCACACGCACACACACAAACACAAACACAAACATGTGTATTGGGTGATCAAAACTCCTATGGCCAAATTCTAGGTGGTTACAGAAAAATGTATACAAATAATTATCCAAATTTTTTGTTCTTTCAGAAGTATGGGATTCCACATCTTTCATTAGTTATGGTATTTTTTGTGTTCTGTGGTGTAGCTGTCATAATGTCCCAATATATACTTAATTTTGTTGTGGTGTCACACAAAAGAAAACACTGATGCTACACAAATATAAGACCACAACCTCGTCAAATGCATACTGGTAGCTGTGACAAGCATTTGGGGCCAATCTAGGCAACTGGATTATATCAGACGCTCCCTCAATATCACCGTGAAGTGTACATGCAAATTGGAGGGGGTAAATAGGAGCAGTTCTTCTGAAGAAATACAGAGAACAGTGTGTGAATCCCGCTTATGTGATCAGATATTTGTATTAATCATAATGTAAAATTAAAATGAAAAAAAAAAAAGCTAATAACTTCAGAAGCTTTGTTTTCCATTCACTGGAATCAATAGTAATAAATGAATGTGTTATGTATATATGAACCGGTGATTATTTCATTTCTTAAACGAAGATAAAATATTGTAACTTGACAAGAGTGATAAATCAAACAATAATTTGTTTACAATTTCTGCTCCACATTATCTCCCAGTAGTTTCTAAATTTTGGCCATAAGACTTTGAATCATCCTGCATACACACAATAGCAATTACAACATTATGTAGGTTTAGAAAGCAGTAAAACATAATCTCACAATATTTGTGACCACAATTCTTTTAAGACAAATGCAAGTACAATTTGGAAATAACACATGTCAACAAAGAGTAAAAAATTTTATTAACCCTTTTCATGCCAAGCTGTCCATAATTTAAAATAAATAACACAGATGTATACATGCACACCTGAACTCAATGAAATTTAACCTAACTTCAATTAACTTAACCTGCCCTGTCAAAGAATAGAAGTCCATAATATAAAAAAGTTTTAATAAAAGAAATTACTACAATTCGCACTACAAGCTCATTACTCTGTAAATCACAACAAACTTTACCTGAGTGTATACTGTATGTACTCCATCTGTCACACTGACAGTCAAGTTGTATTCATGTTGCTTCTCCCAATCTAGCTGCTTGGCCAGCAACACATTTCCCTTATCACGCCCAATGAAGAATTCATCTCGTTCATCTCCACCTACAGAAGGCATTTTTATATTCATCAGAGTATGTTCTTACTACTTATCATAAACTGTGAATCAAAAAAAAATTATTAGCTTTTGTACTCCACCGTTTATATTCAATTCTATTGCATTATGGCTGACGATAGATTTTTTTTTAATTCTAGACCTCACATAAGTGACATCATAATAAAACAAATCCATCGTCGACCAGTGATTGCATTTCTGAAAAACACAGTAATTAGTGACTGGGATTGGAAAGACCAAGGCCCATGGAACACTGAGGACCTGGCGAACTATGCTGCTGTTGACACTAATACAAGTTGAACTAATGTGTCTGTTCCTGCATTAAACAGAAGAAGAATTCTGCATCAACATCAGACATGAAATACAAAAGTAAAATGTATCATAAAACAGTGCAAAATAATGACAATTTGGAAGCTAGAAAGTTTTGGGATGTCAAAAGAGTCATGACCCTAGCAAATGGTGATCTACTGGTAAGGATGTCACTAATTACTTCCCATGTGAATACAAAATGAAAGCTATGGAAACATACAACCAACTACAGCCAATAATAAAACTGTATACAAAGAAAAACTGTGGACACTTGAAATTGTTGGTTTGCAGTTGGTGAGGGGCTGCAGTACAAAGACTGTCAGCTGTTTCTGATTCATTAACTGATAATGTAGGAGAGTATTTTATAAGGAACCCTGTCCGCCTCACACTGTACAGTACAAAAATGTATAAAAGTAAATAATTAGTTCTATTACACATATTTCTGAACAATTTTTAAATTAAGATGAGAGAAGAACTGAGTAATTACATATCTCCCTTGTAGCTACTCACCTACTATGTCATACCACAGCAGGTCTCCATCCTCATCAGATGCTTGGATAAGTGCAACAAGATATCCTGCCTGATCACTCTCCGTGATTTCAACATGTTGATTAGCGAGCTTTATCTGGGGAGGGTGAGGAGACTCTTGAGGAACTGCAGCCACCTGAACTGCTACACGAGTGGTGTGGCTATGCTGAGGCTGACCGTTATCTTGAGCACGAATCTATGCATTACAAAACATTATTACATACCAGTACCACTGTTTCAGAGTGTGATCTGAGATTCAACTGTTAACTCTCTTGCTGTAGAGCTTGAAGGAATGCTAGGTGCATTAGCAGCCAGTTTCTGCAGAAACTGCATTATTGCAAGTTCAAACTTCACAGTACTGTAGTTATCACATTTATATATCCAATGGTTTGTGAATAAACTTCTCAACCTGTATCTGGATCTGCTTGAATTTGAAATAAATGAACATGAACATGCTGAGAACTGTATCCAGGACAGGTAGGACATCTTTTGGCCACGTGTAGGAACTATCACCAATATTAAATGCAGTTTTTCCTCAGAGATGTAACAAAATACAGCATTTTTCTTTCACTCTGCACCATGTAAGTAGTGCTGTAGAGTGGTAAGGTGCATAAACAAACATGGTTTCTTTCAGATGCAAACAGACTGCAGAAGAGATTACAAGTAACCTTTTATTTAGGGGCCTCCATAGTCTAGAGGTAACGTTCCCACCTCATGACTCGTGGTACGCGGGTTCAAACCCGGCGGAGGTCGTGGAATTTTTAAGGGTGGAAAAATTCAGGGAACAAGTCCTCCGGGAGGGACTTTAAGCCGTGGATCCCGTGTCGTAGCTTTACGGCACGTAAAAGAACCTCATATCTCCAAAGGAGGTCACTGAGCCAAATTCAAGGACGTTTGCCGCCCAACAGTAGTCTCTAACGCCTCTGATAGATGGGGGAAGCATTATAGATACCGCCAAGCCAGTAAAGGCCGAACTTGCTGGCTCGGTCGGGACTGATGGTACACACCAATATCGGTAGGGTATAGAGACTGGTAGAATATCATAGAGGGAAGCACAATGGACCAGTACTGGTCTAAGGGCATGGGGAAACCCACCCTCTCCAATAACTAACTAACCAACCTTTTATTTGTTGATTTCAAATTCAAGGGCGAATATAATAATTGCTAAAAGTAATAAATTTCAATTACGATTTTTTTCATATTTATATGCATAATGAAGGAGATACTATGTCCTAACAAAACTATGCAGTAAAAGAAGTCAATTAACTATTGGGTCACAATCCCATGTCCACCTTGCAGTTACCTCCTAGCAGGTAAAATACAGCTTTAAAATCATGTGTTAAAAATCAAATGTAAGCAATATATTTTCTTTTACTCATTCACTTCAGTAAATGTTATCAGCCTCCTAGTATCAGTGCAAAAGTATGGGGCATTACTATGTTTCCACATGCACAGAACAAATCTATATCCAGTATTGCAAACCTGAAAGACCTTTCCAGACTGACATGACAGTATACGAGTAACTAAAAAATCACCCAACTGATTACTGGAGTAACCCTGACTTATGAACAGTTCCAACCATCATATATTGGCATACCCATATTAACTGAACACCAGGGTTTACATAAACAAATTGAGCATTTATATAAGAAATGGAAGTTGCTTCTGTTGTACCTAGCATATTAAAACATGGATCAAGAAACAGAGGGGGCTTCATTTAATTTCAAAAGATTACTGTAGAACATATAAACATGCAGGCATAATCAAATAACCAACTTAAAATATGGACTAAACAATGATAATGCCAAATAAACGATTTTAAGGTAACTAATAAATTAAAACAATTCAAGACAGAAATATTAAAATTTAATATGTATTATAAGGATATCTAAGTGAAGACTGGAGATCAAGAGATCTTCAACAAAAACGTTTAAAATCATGTCTTTGGAATTTATGAATATGATATAAAGAAAATTGGAAAAAATGTGAGTAGATTTTAAAATGTTCTGATGATGGTGTATAACACTAGAGATTACTAGATTTTTAGACTCTGCCCATCCTTCAGTATTCTAAAGAACACTAAAAAGAGTAGTGTTTCAGAAAATGTATTTGTTTCTATCCAAGGGTGAAGGGGTGGGGAACACCTACTCTGCTGGGTTCATTACAAAGAGCTAACCTCAAGTGTGTCTCCCACCCACCCCCTCACCTGAGGATGAAAACAGATCCATTTTCCAAAGTGTTGTGTTATTTAGTGTACTTCAGAATACCAGACGATGGAAAAAGCCCAAAACCCAGTAATCCAGGGGAAAGGACGCACTTTAGCAACTTGATCGATTTAAGTAATTGAATAATATGAATTTGTGGTATCCATAATTTGTCAGCTAAAGAACTTCAGCCTAACTTTTTATACAAGAGAATACATGTTGATTACAGCCAGAAAATGTGTGTTCCACACTAACATTTACAATGAAGTGTAGCAATTTGCTTACCCTTAGATCATATTCTTGTCCTGCTGTGAACCCACGCTGTGAGTAAACAACACCAGTTCTTGGATGGATTTTGAACTTCCCTATGCCTCGACCAGACTTTATGCTGTATTGCAGTTCCCCATTAGGGCCAATGTCTTGATCATATGCAAGGACCTGTGAAAACAATTAACTGTTTATTTCTTTATTTGTATCTAATGGAAACAAATTAAGAATTCATATTTTTAAACAAACTATACAATGCTGAAAGTTTCTCAACCTTGTATTGTATTGTATTGTATTGTATTGTATTGTGCATTTTATTCATAACATGAATATAAATAAATTGTTATATTTTGACATAAACAGCAGAAATAACATACAAATAAATGCTTTAAAGTAAAAGTAACAGTGGTGAAATAGAAATAATTGGGCAACCCCTCAACCTCTTCCATGCAGCATTTACTTTAACAATCATGTTATTTGTACTGCACACAATTACAGGATTTTAAATTGCACCATGTAAAACTTTCCTTGCTACAAAAATTGATCAGTCAATATGATTGTGCAGGGTGATGCTGATATAATGAATTCAGTTTATAAGATACCTCTCTATGTAATGACTCCATGTGTACTGCCATTAGCATTTTACAATTATTTCTATTTTAGCAATAACATGGGAAGGTAAAAAAAAAAGACTTCTCTAGTAGTAGAGGGATAAAACCTCCAATAGGCATGTGACCAATAGCTGAGATACCATTTTGGATTTCTGTTCATGCAAATTTTTCGTGCACATTTTTCTTCCTTCAATCCCTGATTATCAGCAACTGAGAAGCAGTCTCAACTGTGGCTGCAGTATTAGTCTGTCTCACCCTACTCCTATCATCATCATCATCATCATCATCATCATCATCATCATCATCATCATCATCATCATCATCATCACCATCACCAAATGCAGGAAATGATGGCTGGTTTAGTATATCTCCCAAAATAATGCCTAGAGTAACGCAACCCCAAAATGGTGACGAGATCAGTATACTTCCCAAAACAAGGAACTTCTATTCATATTCTGAATTCCTTAGTATGTGTGGAAAAAGTATATAGGAAGGGAAAATAACAAAATATTTGTAAATCAAGACACGGTTAAGGAAATATATTAATTATAGAAACTCCAAGAAAGATGGTATGTTAATGAAAGATAGCACACCAGAAGAAATGTCTGTAAACTAATTATTATATGGGAATACATAAGCATAAAACCTCTATATCCTGTGCAGGAAAGTTTGGCAAGGCTCTGAAATTTAAATTTTTAAATGGGCATTATTTTTCCATTTCCTAAACTTTCATATATTATTTATTAATTTTCCCATTCTGCTTTCATAACAATAAACAAGTTCTGTTCTTATGCATCTCTTTTCTTTTGAAGAACTATTTAATGGACAAAATCATAATAAAGAGAAAAAAAGGCGTGTGAGACTATCAAGTATACAGAACCTGAAAAGAAACAATCCTCTCCTACAGAAATATTCATGAAATATGTTGTATATCAACTGTTTCAGCTGTTTTATCTGAAATCATCACAGTAAAGACACTATCAGTTCCACTACTTGGTAAAATTTTATGGTATTTTGTCTTTGAAAGTTACAAATTGCATATGTTAAATGCTTAAAAATGTATTTTATATGTTCAAATACTAGTATATCATTGGGAACCATTTTTCATCAAAATCTTGGAAAACTAGTATTTAAAGTGAGATATAAGTTGAAGGAACTACTTGAAGGAGTGAAAATTAATTGTATCGTAATAACACGATAATTCTATATTAAATCTGTATTCAGACCCCACTTTCAGCATTCTACATTCCAAGCAGTACTGTACCTTATCTACTCCACTTCTACAGTACAAGTTGTAAGAACTACTCATGGTGTAAAATACACAAAAATACACAAATAGTAAGGAGAATAGCATTAACTACAATCCAAATCTATACAAAACTGTTAATAAGTGTAAAGTTTTCAAATCATTTCTTAATTACAATGATAAAACCCCATTAAAAACTACTGGAATATTACAGACAAAATTAGAATGTAATCTGCCAAATCACATATCACCTGAACACCTGAAATGCAGGCCAACAACAGAATCTGAGGCATCAGGAATATCTTAGTCTGCATCTATCCATACTTCTTTTAGCTATAAATGCATTTATATAAACACTGAAATGTTTACTTTAAATTTAATAAACTGTTGAATGATGAGAGGGACTTTATACACTTTTCCCTCATCAAGTATAAATCAGCAATTATAATATCCAATGTATATAAGCTTCGTTAACCAATTATCCTTATATGTATGGACAACAGAACACTCACAAATACTGAAGCTTGAAACCAAAACATATAATAACCAGTGCTTTGTACTGAATGAACTGCACTAGCAATCAATTACTAATTAAACATTCCACATAAAACACAGTGCTCACTAGCAGTTTAACATGCCAAAATGCATAGCTCACACATACAACACACAAATAATTTCATACTAGCATCAAAAGAAACATAATACATAGAAGAAAGGCAAACACATAACACAATTTAATTTTTAAATGATGCTGTACATGGCCATACAAAATACCCTGGCACAGACTTGTCAGTTCCTTACCCTTAATATTGGTTCTCCTGATAAGCCGACAGGATCGAAACTCTCCCAAGTGCCGTTTTCGAGAAATGTATCAACAGCAAGCTCAAGGTCCTCTGTGCCATTCTGTGTGAGGCGTAAACACAAGCTTGCTTTAAATGATATTGACAATGGTTGATGTGTATTATTAAATGGTTCATATACAAGCCTGAGCCCGTCAGTACATACTGATGATTGTTGTATCATTCTTCCAGTTTTTGATCACCTTTAGTTACTAGTAAGTTAACTGAACAGAGTTAAAGACTATCAATTTGACAGAACAGAATATGGCAGATAATGATATTAATTCCAGGAAATGTTTATTACAAAAATAATTGTACTAAAAATTATTTAAAAATTGCTCTCCATCCAAACTGTTTAACAAGTCATTAAACATTTTAATACTCCTTAATTCTGTTTAAAAATTACTATTGAATATAAAGAGATTAAAACTTTTGTGACAATATAAAATCACTATCTTCAACAACTCAAGCATAATTTCAGAAAAAATTCTGCCTAATTAAATTGGAGGGACCAATTATAATGAGAATAAAATTATATTTGTTGGTAATTATATCAAACTGGGTTTTAGGATGTGTACTCATATACCATGATCATTATTGTATTAATTTAGAATCCAGTAAATCTAGCCATCATAAAATAGTAAATATACTAAACCATCATTTGTACAGGAACCATCGTCAATAACTTTTAAGGGAAAAGCTTATAGAAATTGTAAACGTTGACACTGATGGGCTAAAAGAAATGTAAAATATTGCACTGTGCTGCTCCCTTATTTCCATAAGCACGGCCCAATCATCTACTCACTGATTATGGTTTGGAGGCCAGAAGCACCCAAGAATATATGAAAACCTTTCAAGAACTAATGCTTACATGATGTTAAATAACCACATAATTTAACATAAAGCCCATAAATGTAAACAGAAGTATCAAAACTGTGTACTGTACCACAAATAGCTGACATAATATAACAAATAATTTAGTGCACAACAAAGAATAACCTATAGGAAATGGATGTGGAGATCCTTCTGCATTTAAACAGGTTTGACAAAATGTTCAGCATGTCATAGAAAACTAACAACTGCAAACTATTGTCTAAGGATGTGACAGAAGTGGGAGAAGACAATACTAACTGATCAGTTGCAATAACTGCAAAAACTGCAATAAAAACAAATGGCAATAATTTTCATTTTCAAAATTACATATTTCACAGAACAAACTAATTTTGACATTGAGCTGAATCTTGAGCACTGGCAAAAATGTACTATGTTATGATGTTAACATCCAGCAGAGTTATGAAGCATAATTAACTCTCTGTTTGCAGTTTATTTACTGAGGCTGTCAATAGCTTACAACTATATAGCATTGAATGAATTGATAAACAATGAATAGGAAAGGATGTGGAACTATGCGGTCATTAACTAATTTAAGACACTATCCCAGCATACTCTCGTAGGGGTTGAAGAAAACAACAAAGAAAACTCAGTAAAAATTGCTGGTGTCTTGGCTGTAATCTGAACTGGATCCTTCACAAGTACAAGTCAGAAGCATTTCTAACTTGAACTAATTTCCTTTGTATAATTCATTCTAGTATCCTGAATTCTCATATAGTGTGTGTGTGTGTGATTAATTCACCTACTAAATGCTTCTTTGTAGTTTTCTCTACAGGCATCATTTCACCTTACAGTCTCTCCTCACCTGTATTTATATTAAGCTGCAAAAATACTATGAAGTACTAACAGAAGAAGGTCACTCCTTTTTCATTTACAGTCTTTATAAAGTGCAAGGAAATCAGAAGTTCTCTAAATAAGATGGACACTGACTCCCCTGAGTGCCAATGACCTCACTATTTTCATAATTTCTAACAGGATATAGGAAGCAGCCCAGTTAATTCAATATAGTCATGACCATAGAAAGTGAGTGCGCTTTATATTAAAATATATGCTTCAAGAAACAGTTTACTCATATGAATTGTTATTACTGCTTTTCAAACCAAAAATGCATGATATAATGCTTATATCTTAATGCATTTCTTACATTTACAAAACACATGCTTTCTGATATGCTCTGTAACTTATTGCTACCACCTATCACTTCTCAATGGTCTTTAAACACCAGAAGGTGTACATAAATATATAATGGTATCTCATGTATGGAGATTGTAATATGTAAAACCCATTCATGATGCAAATGATCACATGGTTGTGTACATGACACACCAGCAGTTGACCACAAGCTGTGTAGCAGAAGGGGAACATTAGAGCAAATGGAAACAGTGTGTAGTAATCCCCAAACCGGGTTTCATGTGAACAATTCTTACAGCCAGAAACTGAAAATCCATACCTCTGTTATCAGTTAAAACATGAGTACAGTGCTTTCATTAGTTTTCTAGGATCATGACAAATAAAAGCAGAAAATTTACAGAATATTTAAATTGATGGGAACAAGAAACACAGCCAGACATGAAACACAAGTCTATAGTAGACATAAAAGTGAATCTGACCACCACCTCATGAAAGTCGTACTGATAAAATGTGACCAGAACTAATTATACTGATGTAGGTTGAACATATGACATTTACAAGAAATTGATGTATCAGTTCACATTTGTATTTACCTATTTGTCACTTCTTACAATCAGAGTTCTACATGCCCACAGAAATTTTCATCTTCTCATACACCATTGTATGATAAGATAGTGTGACATGTTGATCCCTACCGCCCCAGCTCCACGTAGCGGTAACTTAGCGCTCGCGTAATAGGCGAGTAATCACCCCGCAATATGCAACGCGTGGTGACGTCACGAGCGGAGCTGAAGATAGTTCTGAGCAAGCCTACGAGTCGAGTTGTAACCTGGCCATTGCCGAAGACAGTTAGTTATAAAGTAACAGTCGCCGAGTTGAAACATAACAGCCGCATGTGCGATAACCAGTGATAACCAGTTATATCTGGAGTGTGTAATTCGGGGAGACTAGTATAGCTCCCGCATTATTAGGACGTGAAGACTCTCGAAGAGAGTGTTAAGAGATTTTGTTGTAGGGTTCGTAAACTGTAGAAACCCGTAACTTTGTGATAATTAATTGTAGCCGTTATTTGTAGATTGTTAAATAAACCAATTAACCATCTCTACGGCGTCTTCGGTAACGCAAACACGTTACACTGGTGTCAGAAGTGGGATCAGTAACCAGCAACACGTTACAATACTGTGAGGAAAAATTGAAAATTATGAATTCTGAAATCTGAGAAATGAAGATAAAATGAAAATAAAACTGCAAACCCAATCTGAATTTTTGTTCCACATACACTACAAAAAATGTGAAGCAAATAAAATGTTATTGAAATTTGTTTGAATGTGAACATTGTTTTAGTCAGAGTGTTGGGTGACAAACACAGAGTTTAACAAAAGTTCAGAAGTCAAGAGTGGAGTTCTTTAAATCAGAACTTTAAAATTCATGGACATACACATGACTGATCTATATCAAACATGAAGGGAATGTATTATATTTAATTCAAATTTGCCAATATAAAACAATATACCCTTTTGAAATGGGAGCACGCGGTAGCATAGTTGGTTGAGGAGCTATGCTACAAGCCGGAAGGTCACGGGTTCAAGTCCCGATGAGGTCACTGGATTTTTTTTTCAATTGACCTAATTCTTCCAGCTGCACTAGGCCCTGGGGTTTACTCAACCTCTAACAGAAATGAGTACCAGGAATTAATTTAATAATTTTCCTGCAGAGTAAAGCGCGGCCGGCACATAAGGCTGACAACCTTGCCGCCATCTTTGAGCCGACTGTCTAGATAGTGTGGGACCTTCAACGTTTCACAACCCTATGGGCCTTCACGGCCTGTTAAAGGGATAGCTTAATTTTTTTTTACTTTTACCCTTTTGAAATTATTGGTGGAAGCCTCAAGGCTGAATGTCCAATCTTCATAATATTAGTTTTGTCAAATTTAGACACATTTTTTTAAGAAATCACAATTTTTATTACATTTCTGAAATGCAAATATTTAATAACTTCCTTGCATTTTGTGTTGGAGATGAAAACAGGCAGCAGATACAGTAAAACCTCAAATGTGTGTCTTAAATTTCATAGCATTAAAGCATGTAGCTCCCTAGAAAAACTTTTCTGTTCTATGAAATTAATATTGTGAAAACAGGGCTTACAGCTTTCCTTTTAATGAGCCCTTTAACTTAAAAATTCTTTAATTTAGAATCTTGTTTTCTTTTTGCTAGATATTCAACTTAAATAATGTAGCTTTATCAATAAGATAAGCAACCATTACTCTGGCGGTCATGATACAAAGTAACATTTCCTGTCAGCCTGCATCAATGTCCCATCACCAATCACCAAGCATTACTGTAGCAGCCCAACTCTTCTCTAGATCTTATTTATAATATGCCCATTAGAAACGTCAATAATCTAAAATAACTATCAATCAATTCTGGAATTACATTTCAATTTGGGGCTCTTAAATTACCAGTGGTGCCATATTTATGTAACTAAATAATTAACTACATGGGGTAGATCTTTCTTGAGAAGCCAACAGTTGCTTGTATAGTAATACATTAAATTCTACATGTGACTGAATGGAGATTTTTAATATTTCTAACGAAATTTAAACTGTAATCATGCACTAGATAGTTTATTTATGAAGCAGATATGACTACAGGAATCAATCATCTCATTCAGTTGACAATATAGAATGTATTCACAGCATGTTTCTAAAGCCATGTGTACTTGCAGTGCAAAGTAACTTAACAGACACGACTTGACCTTCCAAAATGTACCTTCTTCTAACAGATTCAAAAATTGCTATATCTACTGAACGGAATCAGTAAACTTAGTGATCATCACTGGTCAAATTTATTTAATTACAAAAAATCAATACATATATTAACAACATTCCCTGAGGTCTACTGTACAGATTAAGGCTGTATTACTCTTTTTACTTCTAGAGTTACTTTAAAAACCAATATTCTGAAACTTAAAACTGATTTTATCTTAACAGTTTGAATGATAGTGGTTTACTGTTCTAACAGAACCAAATAATCACTTTTATAAAACATCTCATTAAGTCTTATATCAAAACTTTGGATAATAAAACAGATAACCTGCATCCACTAGTCCTTTGTTGGAATAAGAGACTGCTAGAAATCACTCATTATTATAACAAAAAACAATTATATGTGATAAATATTAATTGCAATATGCTCCTTACTAAAAAAAATTACTGAAGTGTAGAGAGATACTGCTGCCTAGTTACTTAACCCTTTGCATGCCTTGTGCCGATTTCATCAGTTCAGGCTACTTGTATTACATCTGCCAGTGTTGAAGACACCAGCACATTCTTAATTAATTAGTATGACATTTCTGCCAATAGATCGCATCAAATGTGTGACACCAATCTTCACAAGAAGTAATGGACTTCTGAAGGAACTATTCCTCTAGCTGTTTAAGACCACATGAAGAAATAAATGCATGTTTTTCTTGCAACTGCATTTACCAGCAACCACGCTGCATATTTTTAAATGGTGGGGACTGCCAGGCAAAGGGTTAACTAACTACAGCTAAATATATACTATGATGCAGACTACAACACTGTCTACCTCACCAAAAAACCTGGAAGAGAGTTGCAAAATGTCAACCTTCGGTATTAAATGCAACAGTACATAGGTAAAACATGACGCCACTAAGTAAATGCATAATCTAGCACACAGATAAAAAAAAGAAAGACAGCATACTATCAAATATGTGATTTAAAATTAAAAATATACTGTGTAATTTTCTTATTAGCCAAGCAATTCTCTTTGACAGACTCATTCAGTGCAATTTCTTCCTAAACACTGTGAAGTGAAAAAAATTAAGGCAGTGCTTTAACACAGTACAGTGACTTGAAATTGCAATATAAAAACAAACATGATGTCAACAGTCAATATGGCGTTTTGCAGATTGTGCGGCACGATCTGACATATTCACTTAACTGACACTCAGTATGACTAACAATAATTGCATGGATCAAGTCAATCCAATGTGACAAGATAAACACATGAAGTTGCTTCTCCCAAATGTTCACTGCATGCATAAAGTTAATTATTGTTCTTAGGTTCAATATTAATAAAATATTAAGTAGTACTGTTACAAGAGCATATTTCAACATCAGGAGATTTATTTATTTAAACATATTAACATTCATATTAAATTCTGAGATGTAATGAAACCTGAACAACGAAACAGTGAGCATAAAAGTTTGAATCATGCGAAGAGTGCTAGTGTGGTAACAAGTATGTGAAATTTATCAGATTGAAATGAATCACAGACTGACATTTGGTATTACATTAAAAAATTGAAAGCAATGAACAGATTTAAACCATAACTGTGCCATACAGTTTAACATGCCACACTTCTAATTAATATACTAAAGCCTCCATGTTCTCGTCATCACTCTCAAAATTCAAAGATCCATCATATATCTGATATATATCTCCTCTAATGGCCAGAGTCAATAAAATCAAAGTCTGACTAAAAGAGAAGATAAAACTATGGTGTGCAGTTCTACGAAGGTCAGCTAAAAGTGCTATGAAATCAATGATAGGGCACAGTCTCTGAAACTTTAAAAATGATAGATAAGACAAGGTCAGATATACATACATACCCAAAAAAAAATACAGAGGACTAAAATTCAAGCTGATGGATTTTCCTAAATATCAAACGGAACCTAACAGCAAACACACTGATATCAACGAGTACTACAAAAATGAGATGCATGTATAGTACTAACATAAAAACTTTTAGATTTTATTCATATTTAATATTTGACTCATTATAACCTTGATATAAAACTCCACTAAAATAGCATCAAAGCAAATGAACTAATGACCTCATTTTTCATACATGAGAGTCAAAGGCATTTCACAAAATTTACCTAGTATCAATAGAACAGTGACATTTCTGGAAGGCTGTGACAGGATGGCCATGTGGGTAGGGCTTGGGAAACAAGGAATATGTGTAGGAATTTGATGAGGTAACCTCTTGGGAAATGTCACAGGGACAGCTTTACCATTTAATTTCTGAGGCTGGAAGGCAGATGGAACTATGGACTTTATCCAGTTGCAGGTTTTCACACTACTAAATCTTAAAGTTCTGCTTCTATTATAATTTAGTTAATTCATCAATGCACTGGAGATTTTTTAAAAATTAATGACTCTTCCAGTTATTAATAATTCTTAATTGTAGTGACAGAACCAGTTGCTTTTTCTGGTTATTGTCACTAGGGCTCCAAATGCCTCCTAAATGTTGCATGAAACTATACTGAATCCTGGTAAGTTCAGAATACAGCCCTTAAAATATGTAAGGAAAGGTTCATGTATTTTTCTTGGGGGGCAGTTTAGTTACGTCCACAGACTCCTTGTGGACTGAAGATAAGAATACCAAATGTCAGTTGTGGAATAAGTACAGCAAAAAGCTGGGCCCCTACCTGAAACAAAGGCACGTCTAAATTTGAAGACTCCGGAATTGTGACTTTGTAGTACATCTGTTCAAACACTGGTGCATTATCATTTACGTCTGATACTGCAACTACTACACGTGTTGTGGAAGACAGAGCAGGTGTTCCATTGTCACTCACTGTCACCTACAACAGACACATATCAACATTAGAAAATCTCTCGCTGAACATCACATTAATGTCTTGGTTAACACAGCAATATTCATAAATATATGTGTCTTGCCCATGGCAGCCATAAAAACACTTGTTTCTTTGTAAAGCTTACCATACTCAAATTCTCAAGCAAAAGATATTATTTTTGTTTCATATTTGAAAGCAGGTTTTGTTCTTAATAATGCCAATTATTAAAGAGATTCACAAAAGAAGGAACTGGTTTATAAGCTATATGTCTTGTGCGTATAATCACTTTGATAGTGATTCTGTATGGATATCATCGCCATCTTCACAGAGTCGCAGTATTCTACTCTGAAGATGGCCTTAGCATGTACTTCCAAAACTTTGGCAACATGTTTACATTCACAGGATGCAAACACCCACGTACAGAAACAACATTAACAACGAACCAATGTGAAAGGCCAAAATCATTAATTGCACTCTGTCAACAGCATGTTTCAGTAGAACAGCAGAATTACTGTGTACATGAATTGGATATAATATGGAATGAAGTAGGCGTATCCTGTTTAAGGTTCTTTTTCTATAAATTGTCTAGAGGGACTAGAGAAAATCAAGAATACCTCAGACAGGATACTTTTTCTAAGTTTCAAACACAAAAATTCCCAAATACAAAAGAATTTTAACAACTGGACTGCAGCATTCAGTAAGGATAAAAGATTCGAATATGGGACTTCCATACTGGAAGAAAGACTGCTGACCACCTCACCAAAATGTTCGAATATGCAAGATTACATAGTGCCATGCATTCTAACTTTCAGATGGAGGTGATTAGTCAGATTTACGATCAGGCCACTTTACCCCAAGGGAAAGTGTCCCTACTACCCAAAAATAGGAGACTGGGTGGGCCCCAGAGCCGATCTGGGAACTGTGGAGAAGAGTGTTTTGGCCCTGCCGGAAATCGAACCCCGATCCCTCGGTTATTCAGGCCGCAGTTTCGTCACTATACCGGCTCCAAACAAAAGATGAAGGGCAATGGACTTAAAAATAGACAATCTTTGTGGAATAAAAACATGAAACAACGTAAAACAGTAACATAAGGAAAGTGAAAATTACTTCTTTGGGGCCAGAAACAGGGGGGTAGACACTGTCTGCCTAGTCCCGGAGCGCTAGGTTTGATTGAGCTACTTTCAGTGTCTTAAAAGGCATAACAATCGCTCCCAAGAAAGATAATCATAAGCGTACAGAGAAATAATTTCCTTCTAACATGTGTTGTTCATTTTCCGAGAACTGGAGCGTCTACCTAGTTCCGAAAAGCCATTTCCACCCCTGATCGTCTGTCGTTGTTTCAGATAGTTCCACTGATGATCAGACATTCGTTCACACAGAACGCGGAGTTGGCATTGTCCGTCGTGTTTCCTCTAACTGAAAACAAAGAATCATGATGCTGATTGAGAATCTCCGGAAATCACGGTAAATGCTATTTCCGTCAAAGTGCCGCAAGGCAGCAGTGCTTGATAGATGGACTGAATTCTGACAGCATCCTGTAAACATCTAACTTGGCCTCAAGGTTTGTGTGGAGTTGCTTTTATCAAGACACATGAGGTATTCTCTGAGAGGGGGGTTTACATAAAACGGCCACCCGTAAGCTCTTCTCATGGCTGTGCTAGACGGACGCCAGGAAACTAGCTCTCACTTGTCACAACTTCTTATTACGGCTCGCTTCCAGGATGACGGTGGGTTATATCCAGAGATGCAATGTCATAACTCAGATTCTTCGGCTGGGACGGTGAAAATGTAGGCGGCGTCGTTTACCGTAGAGGATATACTACGAGTAAATGGAAAACTAACATCGTCGGCTATAACGGTGTACACACAGAATGGAGGTTAAGGTCCATAAATTCTTGACCAAAATCGTGAGATTGTTTTACAGCAATTTCTTCACACCCCGAAACTAATGACGCTATGGTAATTTCGAGAAAACCGGTACTAAAGTTCCAATAATTCTCAAACTATATTAAGGTTAGAGCCACTCTCCGACCACCTTTAACTCAAATAATGGTGCCAAATTATGCAGAGATAAGTGACCATGCCGTAACTGACGCGGTCAGAGCTGGCTTCTCACCGCAGTTTCGTACGATTTCATGTTAGGTTCGTAGTGGACGAAGTGGCACTATAATGGGCTTTTACCAGAGTTTCTTCCGCTTTCCCCACTAATCGACCGCCTCTGTGGTCTAGTGGTCAGAACTCCTGGCTACAGATCCAGCGGTCTCGAGTTCGATTCCCGGCACTGCCAGATTTTTTGTGAAGTAGTAGGTCTGGAACGGGGTCCACTCAGCCTCGTGAGGATAAGTGAGGAGCTACTTGAAAGGAAAAATAGCGGCTCCGGTCTAGAAAACCGAGATTAACGGCAGTGGGAATCCGTTGCGCTGACCACGCGACACTCTGTATCCGCTAAGTTGGCACTAACTTCGCCGACAAGCGGCGGTCGCTCGGTTGGTATAGTTCGTTTTCGGACTAAAGGCCACGGAGTTTGTTCTCCCACTAATCATACATAATTCCACCACTACTTCATATTCATGTAAAGAGTGGTTCTAAATTATTATCGGGGTTTCCGTGGCCAATAATTTTCAAATCTCACGTGCCATGTTCAAGTTGTTTACCCTTCTGCAGGATTGATTCTATAGACCAGGGGTCTCCAAACTTTTCGAAACGCGGGCCACATTAGGTAATTCAGCACTTTCAACGGGCCGGATAAAATGAGAAATTAATAACTTTAGGTATATGAGTTTTATTGAAAGCACAGAATTTCATAAACTAAATACAAAGTACGTGAGAATAAATTATCGTATATTAATGACAACAGACAGTAGCAGCAAATGCTCATATTTTCATCACAAATTATAATAGAACAATTAATGTGAATGATGGAACTCTTTTTGCATTCTTAAAATCTGATTAAGTTGGGGTGATGATGATCTGTTACAATTGCACTGCACCACTGCAAGAAGTCTTGTGCACAAGACGGCTGGTAACGAACTGCTCGCGCTACCTACATTGCCACGAAGTGACACTGCCGATCGAGGCCGAACAAGTACGAAGAAATACCGCGCAGTATACGGCCCAGAATTAGTAAAATTCTGAATAATATTAATATTAACATAATATGGAATATCAATATATTTTAAACACAATCTTAATTAATGAATTTGAAATCTGTGAACAAGTATTTTTTTACCAGTACCCATTAGAAAATTAGTTCAATTGGCGCATTTCTGCACAATTCTTTCGCGGGCCGGATAAAATCATATCGCGGGCCGTAGTTAGGAGACCCTTGCTATACACAATAGAACGCTCTGAATTACACCTTCAAATTCCAGTGGGAGTTTTTTTTTGTATCCGGTTTGAAAATTATAGTCAACGGAAACCCCCACAATAATTTAGGAGCACCCGTTATCACTGCCCCCAGTTGTACGATAGTCATGACCAAGTAGCATATTGTCACATCCTCAATCTATAAGTTCGGGGCTTCATATCTCTGATCGAGCACTTGGCTGGTTACAGATTAAGAAGTCAGTTCAAAACAAGATAATTGGCGTTAAGACTTCAGGAATTATTATTATTATTATTATTATTATTATTATTATTATTATT